CTTTTTTGTTGTTAAAAATATATATTTTTTGGCTTTTGCTCGAGCGTAACTTTCTGTCTTCTATTATCCGAATACTTGCTCTCTTTAACAGTCGTGTGATTGAACAGTCGATCGAGAGCACACAACATTTTGACTCGTTTAAGTATAAATACTTAGTTCTTAAAAATTTATTTTGAAAATGAATGCGTCATTTTTGTGTAAATTAATCCTTTTCAAAGTTGTATTACAAAGAGACTGTCTTAGTTTTCCTATCTAATAATATGTTGGGGCCTGTTTCGGAAACTAACGAACCAATGTTAGAAAGCACTTTCATTGGTTGAAAACTATACCATTATCGATGTGGTGAAAGCTTATTTTTAATGTTTTTTAATTTTTTAAAGCTTTTTTGTTGTTAAAAATATATATTTTTTGGCTTTTGTTCGAGCGTAACTTTCTGTCTTCTATTATCCGAATACTTGCTCTCTTTAACAGTCGTGTGCTTGAACGGTCGATCGACAGAACAAGACATTTTGCATCATTTTAGTATAAATAGCCATTAAAAATGTGTTTTGAAAATTAATGCATTTTCTGTGTGTATATTGAACCTTTTTGAAATTGTATTACAAAGGGAATGTCTTAGTTTGTCTATTTAATGATGTTTTGACCATAATTGTTCAGAATTATTTTTATGATATATTTCAGTACATTACTGGAATTTACTAGAAATATTTTACTTTGATGTTAGATTTGTTAGAGACATTTGCTGTGTCTATTTTTAAACATTTATTGCACTCCAGGTACTTTTGCCGGACCCTTCCGGTCAAAATATCTGTCCTCTTTAGGAACAATGTTCATAGTTGTACTGGAGACAGTTTATTCACCCTCCCTCTCTTCAGGGGGTGCAAAATGTATTTAAGTTAGTCGTTAAGTTGTACATAAACAGATTAGCATTATTCGCCTAGCAACACACTTCGTTACGTTGACTAGCTTATTCGGTTCCATTGTATATATTTGTAAATAAATAGTTAAACACACGACTTCATTTTTCCACGACAAATTTTATTTGAAACAGTTACACCATAATTATCATTTTAATTTACGTGTAACGTACAGTTTATTACTGTACACTTNAACGGTCGACCGAGGGAACAAGTAATTTTGACTTGTTTTAATATAATAAGTCCCTAAAAATTTATTTTGAAAATTAGTGAGTTATCTTTGTGTAAATTATACCTTTGCAAAGTTGTATTACAAAGAGTGTCTTAATTTGCCTATTTAATAATATGTGAGGGTTAATTTCGGAAACTAATAAACCAAAGTTACAAGCTGATTCATTGTTTGAAAACTATACCATTATCGAGGTGGTTGTAGCTTAGTTTAACGTTTTTTAATTTTTCAAAGCTTTTTTGTTGTTAAAAACATATATTTTTTGGCTTTTGTTGGAGCGTAATTTTCTGTCTTCTTTTATCCGAATACTTGCTCTCTTGAACAGTCGTGTGCTTGAACAGTCGATCGAGAGAACAAGACATTTTGACTCGTAATATAAATAGTTCTTAATAATTTATTTTGAAAATAAATGCTTTATATTTGTGCAAATTAAACCTTTTCAATGATTTGTACTAATTTTTAGTCGAGTTGATAATTTTCATTTCAAGATCATAGTTCGAAAGCTCTCCGTACTTACGCTCGTCGATACCGCCAGCAGTCGTTTTGCCTAGCCACAGCTATTTACGTAGCAAACTGGAGAATTCCACATTAGTGTCATTAGTTAATTGATGTTGCTTGTCATTGTATTTGCGTTAATGTGTTGCCGTTAGTCTATTGCTTATTGCGGTTTGGGTTGCAGTTTATTCAATTGTGAAATCAGTGAAAATGCATTTGATTTCCTCATTGTGGCACTATAAACAGTTTATTCACCATTGAAAGGATGTTGTTAATATAAGAGCAATATTAATTTTATTAAGTGAAAAAGTGTTAGCTGNCTATTATCCGAATACTTGCTCTCTCTAACAATCGTGTGCTTGAACGGTCGATCGAGGGAACAAGTAATTTTGACTTGTTTTAATATAATTAGTCCCTAAAAATTTATTTTGAAAATTAATGCGTTATCTTTGTGTAAATTAAAACTTGTCAACTTTGTATTACAAGGAGAATGTCTTAAATTGCCGATCTAGTAATATATGGGGGCTTATTTCCAAAACTAATGAACCAAAGTTACAAGCTCACTCATTGTTTGAAAACTATACCATTATCGACGTGGTTGTAGCTTGGTTTTAATGTTTTTTAATTTTTTAAAGCTATTTGGTTGTTAAGAATGTGCTTTTGGGCTTTTGTTTTTATTATCCGAATACTTGCTCTCTTTACCAGTCGTGTGCTTGAACGATCGTCAGAGGGAAATGATAATTTTGACTCGCTATATAAATAGTTCTTAAAAATTTATTTTGAAAATTAATGCTTTATCTTAGTGCAAATTAAACCTATTCACTGATTTGTACAAATTTGAAATCGAGTTGGACATTTTCATTTCAAGATCATAGTTCAAAAGCTCTCCGTACTTGCGCTTGTCGATAGCGCCAGCAGTCGTTTTGTCTAGCCACTGCGATTTACGTAGCAAACTGGAAAATTCCATATTAGTTAATTGATGTCGCTTGTCTTTGTGTTTGCGTTAATGTGTTGCCGTTAGTCTATTGTTTATTGCGGTTCGGGTTGCATTTTATTCAATTGTGAAATCTGTGAAAATGCATTTGATTTTCCCATTGTGGCACTATAAACAGTTTATTCACCATTGAAAGAATGTTGTTAATATAAGAGCAATATTAATTTTATTAAGTGAAGAAGTGTTAGCTGGGAATAAATTGAATACAATATTTTGTTTAATGTGGAGCTATATCCNTAATTTTAATGTTCATATTTCGATAATTAAAAATTTCGTTTTGCTTTACACGAATTCAAAATTGTGTTTAGTTGTTTTCATAAAATAAGAAATTAAATTAATGTTTTTGGGTCGTTTCGGCAAATTTAAAGTACTGATACTACAAAAAAGATAATTGTTCAATTAAATTAGTAAGAATAGTTTGTTTATAGATTTTTTAATTTTGTAGTCTTTTGATTTAGGTACTTTTGCTGTCCTTGTCTACGTTGTAGACGGGGATTCTTTGGAATAATCATGCCGATTGAAGGAAAATAATGGACCACTTCAATTCCATGATCACAATAAGGGTGAGCTTTCATATTTATTTAACTTTTCTGGATTTTACGTGGTTTGTTTTAACTTAGAGTAATATTTATAATTAGTTTTAAATCGCTCGTTAGTGTTCATACTTGAAAAATTGTTAATTTCTATTTTCTTTACACGAATTCAAAATAGTGTTTAGTTGTTTTTACAAAATAAAAGATAAAATTAAATTAAAATTAATTGGGGCATTTTGGTAAATTTAAAATACTGATTAACAGTCGTTTTTAAAAATTTGTTTTGAAAACTAATGCTTTATCTTTGTGAAAAGTAAACCCATTCAATGATTTGTAGTAATTTTAAATCGAGTTGGCCATTTTCATTTCAAGATCATAGTTCAAAAGCTCTCCGTCGTTTTGTCTAGCCACTGCGATTTACGTATCAAACTGAAAAATTCCACATTAGTTGTTGTAGTCTATTTTAAAACGTTACTTATTTATGTATTAAACCTTTTTAAGCTTGTGTTACAGATAAAAACTGTTAACTCATTTATTTACGACAACATACTGTCTTTAACAGTCGTGTGCTTGAACAGTTTGACCGAGAGAACAAGACATTTTGACTCGTTTCAGTTTATTATTTTCATCGTCCCTTTCACACATTGTACATATCCTTTTCTCCTTCTCCTTCATGCAGTACTTGTACCCTCTACTTTCATTTTCAAAAGATCGCCTACCCCCCTCCCTGCATCAACTCTTCATTATATTCCTCCCTACTTTTTTTAAATCTATTTCCTGCATTCTCAATCCTTCTAAATCACATTTTTTTATTCCCCACATCTTTAAACTTTTTTTTATATGCATTTTGTTCCACCACCTCTCATTACTCTTCCCATTCCGTATTCTTTCCTTTATCATAGTTTCCTTGACTATTTCATTCATATCATTCCAATTTTTAATCAACTTCATCCTGTTTGTGTTTGTTCTTTATCTCTGTACATCTTATTTTCACTTACTTACCCTATTATCGTCATATACATCCCCCTTCCATTTAGTCCTTTTTGGTAAATGGTGTTTTCCTATCCTTTCTATAATTTCAAAATTTTCGACATTTTCTTTTCATGCCCCCCTATTAAATAATTATAAAATTCGGGAAATTCGTTTTCGGGTTACGCGCTTAACGCAACGTTGAAGTCTCCGTCTATTTTTAATAATATCAACAAGAATAAGTGATATATTGGGGAAATTTATTTACTAGTCTTTTATTTAAACATCTTCCAGATATTTCTGCCAGTTGTAATATCCAAAAACAATGGTTTAACTACATTTACAGGTGTTATTATCTACTTCTGCAATAAACTCATAATCATATCGTCATATATTTTGTAGCAGTAAATACGTGCACAGTGTAAATGTGCTTTTTTAAGTAATGTAAATGTGTGAGTTTAATACGTATATTTTCAGTTTTATATGTTATTGTGTAACGAAAAGTTCAGCCAGGTCAAGATTTATGTATGTGAAAATCCGATAAACGTTTGCATTATTATTTTTGTTCGGATTGGAATAATGCAACAAAATAACACATTTAAGGGCAGAAAATTAATTTCCTGCTAAAGACAACGTTTATCAATGGATTAATTAGATATAAAAGTAAAAAGAAATTATTAAATCATAAATTTAAGAAGTACCAAAGGAGTACATAAATAATCATTTTTCAACATATTCGCTTTATTTTGTTATAAAGTCACCTTTTAAGTAACAGGACAATTTGCTTTTTTAAAAATTTTATTGTGATATGTATTAAAAATTATATATTGAGGTATTAAAGTTTATATTTGATATTGTTACAGGTACTTCTAGTTTTGCATCCCAGAGTTGTGAAGGGGGTCTATTGGAAAGGTTACGAGCGACCATATCAATTCCATGACAATCATAAGAGTGAGTTTTCTCAATTATTCTTATTTTTCCAATTTTGTACATGATTTTGTATAGGTACCTTTCATGTTACTTTTTTGTTTATACGTCAAAAGTGTTGTTATCATTTTATACTGAAATACTAA